GGCCGCCCCGCCCCGAGCCCCACCCGGCGCCTGAGGCTAGCAAAACACACCCCAACAACCCCCTCAGTTTTCCACGCCTCTGCTGCCAGGACTGTCCCGGATTGGGAGTGGCATGAGGGAGCCTAGTGACCCTGGTCTGGGAGACCAGCACAAACCAGAGACATCGAGTTTTCCCTAATTTCCATACTTCAGTTTGCCCTTATGGCACGTGACTCGTGACTCCGGCATGTGTGCTGGGCCATCTGCCAGACAGAGCACAATGTGTCCCTAAAGTCAGCATCAATGTGAGGGGGAGTGGGAACCTCACTGATGCTGTCGCCCTCTGGTGGCAAGGTCAGCTCCAGGGAAGGAGGGGAAGCCCCTAGTGGTCTACTAGATTGGCTAATAGTTCTCAACCTTCCTAATTCTATGACCCTTGGACACAGATTCTCATGTTGTGGTGTCCCCCAATCATAAAATTATTTTCACTGCTGCTTCACACCGTAATTTTGCTACTGTTATGAATCTCAGTGTAAATACTTGTGTTTTCCGATGATCTTAGGCAACCCCTCTGATAGGGTGGTTTGACCTCACTAGTTTAAGACTTGGGGATATAGCTCAGTAGGTTGATCCCACGAGGCAGAATTCTGAGCCAACCTGGGCTATATAAAACCCTGTCTCAAAAAAGGGGGAGGGACACAGTCTAAAGGATTTCAGACACCATCCCCCACCAACAATAAATTTCTGTCTAACTCGCTTCTTCCAGCTCACTGCCTGGAAGTTCATCTTTAGAGCAGCTTACAAATTAATGTGCACACAATGGAGCCCAGCCCAGCCAGCATGCTTACTTATCATCTTAAGTGAAAAGTTTTGAACGTTTCCTCCTGAAGAAAAGTCTTCAGAAGAGGAAGTTGAGGGAGGGGGAATTAGCCTCCTGGAGTCACTCAGTTGGAAGGGTGCTAAGTTCGTGTCTTTCCTTTTTACTAGGGCTGCCAGAGTGGCCTCCTGTGGGCTGTGCCCCAACTGAGACCCACTGGGCATCACTGCAATCACCCTGGTCTCCTCACTCCCAACACGCTTTTTCTCATTGTTTTCTCTGTGTCTTTACTGCCTGGGAAAGCATGCAAATGCCTGGGCCAGCTTTGTTGTTTTACAGTGCAGAACAAAGCCAGGACACATTCAACAGTGTCCACAACAAAGGACGGACAGTGGAGTGGGGTGAAAGTCCACCCCCTGCACCCACAGGCCACCTGTGTGTGACCTGAGGCTGAATGGCTCAAAATGTCTGTCTGTTCTCCCCTGACTCAGCCAACGGAGACAAACCACCTCAAAACCAACACATGGAAAGGGGGAAAGGGCTTTATTTCTCTACTGGAAGAATCCACCCATGAGAAAGAGAAGGGCCAGGGGCGTAAGAGGAGCAGTTTAAGAGGCTGCAGAGGGAAAGACAAGGAGCTGCAGGTGTGGGTAGAGAGGACCGTGCTTATTTGTTGTCCTCTAGGAAGAAGTCATTGTAGGCCATGCACAGTGTGGTCAGGAACACAGAGTACTCCTTGAAGTCGATCTCCTGGTCGCTGTTCTTGTCCAGGCTCTTCATCAAGTTGTCAATGCTGCTCTCCTTCATCTTCTGCAAGGGCCCAGGGGGAGGAGACTGCTCAGCAGCTCAGCCCCAACCCACACCTTTACACGGGACCTGACACCAAATGGGGTCCATGACCTGAGTGCTGATTTTAAATGAATTACAAGAGGAAGGCTAGCCTAGCCTTTGCTCCTGGGACATCTTCCCATCCAAAGAAATTATAATCTACAATTTATACAGATATCTACTAAAAACAGCTTGAGTCCTGGCTCTGTAGCCCTGAGCATCATCCAAGTCTCCAACTTAACCTGTCCGTATTGTAAGGCCAAGCTGGAAAAGGACCCAGGCATCACTATATACTTCTCTGTAAGATCAGTACACTGGAGCTGAGAAGCCAGCATGCCCTCAGCTCCAGCCTGGCACCAGATGTCCTCTCAGTTTGGTCCCTGTACCCTGGCTCCTCTAGGAAGTTGAAGACAGAGCCTTAGGGTGGAGCAAGAAAATACAAGCAGGTAGACCCTGCTCTCCCTCTGTCGAAATCAGTTCAGTTCCAGGTCTCCCTTGGATACAGGATGTTGATACCCAGGATGCTGGAAACTGCCTCTCTGTAACATGATCCTGGTCCCCAGACTAGACTCCTCCCCTGGGGCTCTGTCCCTGAGTAATTAGCACCTGATGGACCAAAGGTCCCTCTACCTTCATTAGTTCCAGGATGGCAGAGTGGTTTCTGGTATTGAATATGTATATGCCAGGCCAGGCACAGTGGCACTCAGGAAATGGAGGCAGGTGGATCTCTGTGAGTTGGAAGCCAGCCTGGTCAGGAACTACAGAGCAAGTTCCAGAACAACCAAGGCTACAACAGAGAAACTTTGTCTCAAAAAGGAAAGAAAGAATAATATATAAGGCATGGTGAACTCCATATGCCTTGGGGAAGCCGCAGAGAGACCTGAGAACAGTGGCACCTGTTTCACCCCTTCCCATGGACATGTTCCCGGAACCCTCTCCCTGGGGGAACAGTGGAATTTGGAACTTCACTGTAAAGATAGATAGGAGGTTGGTGCAGAGACTAGCCTGGAATTTCAGCTCAGCCTCAAGGGACAAGTTCTCTGATGTATTTAAGGCTCAATTACTCTATCTCATAGACCTTCAAGTTAGCCAGCCACAACTCCCATCATGTCCATCTAATAGGAATCAGTGCTGTCTCCTTCCTACCCCATGTTCATAAATTAGCCTGTTAGTTTACTTGACAGTATCACTTAGCACCTTAGCTGTGCCAGGCACAGAGAAGAATCAAGAAGAATCCTGATCCTTGAGTTGTACACAGCCAAACCCGGTACCCCACATCCCCCAAACCCTCAAGATCCCTAACATAGGCTATGCAACCCATCACCAAAGTCTCCTTTATGTGATCCCATAGCTTCCCATAGGCAGTAGCACACCCCAGCCTTGCCTCCTTTCCAGTGAGACGGATTCATCCCCCAGCACAGAGGTCTAGAGCCTTGGTAGCCAGAGATGTCCACCACTTCCTCTGCCTCTGGCCCTTCAGCCATCCTGCCCTTTGCCTAGGCTAGAGTTCCCTGCAAGTAGGTGGGCATCTCCCAGAAGGGGTACTCAGAATGTGTAGTGTGGTATATGAGAGAACAGTCACCTACCTCTGCAAGACTCAATTCTGTCGTGATCAACTCCTTCAGTTCTTTCCTACTCAGGGTCAGCTTGCTACCCTCTCTCCCTGAATATTTATGGAAAGTGGTGACCATGGTGGTCAAGGCCTTCTCAAGAGGAGTCTCCATCACGACGTGAACTCTGGAGTGGGAGAGGAGACAATGAGCACTAGAGAAACTAGGCCTGCTCCTCACCAGCCATTCCAAACCGCCATTGCCAGGAGCCCATAGTGAGGCCAAATCCCACCAATGAGAATATCCCGTATATACAGACAGGTTGTAATGAGAGCCATGACAAATATACTGGCCCAGCCAAAGCAGTGAGAATGTCCAGCCCCCAAAGGAGGCTGCAGGCTTCCCTGATCAAGAGGTGCTGACAGAGAGGTCCAGGAACAAAGAGGGTATAGGACAGCCTCTCCCAAAGAACTGCTACAACAGATGAGGGGGCAGGATTTTTCTCTTCCCCATGAAGTTTAGGCTCTGGCTTTCCAGCCACAGTTCTCACCTAGTCACCTTCCTTTCTCCAGCCTCTGAGTCACTGGAAATGAAAGAGTGTCTCACTGAGGGGGAGGGGGCAAAAAAGGAGTCCAGGGGTCAGAGGGGGTTGGAGCTGAAACTGGGAGATAAGATCTCGGCAGGAAGCAGGAGAGAGGTGACTGGACTTGCCTAATGACCTCCAGTCTGATGCCCAGAGAACTTCACCCACAGCCTGACAGGGGCGGGGAAGGGTGGGTATCGACATGGCCAGGATCTTATGAGATATGGCTCTAGAGGTTGGGTTTGAGTAATGGCTTCAGTTCTGTCAGCATAGGCACGCCACCAAAAGAGCAGACAGCTGAAGCTTGTGTGGTTCGGGTTTAAAAACCACTTCCTCTTAAAGGGGAAGGAAACAATGGCCACAGAACTGGAGGTTTCTGTAGATCTGGTGGAGAACCCTGGGCTAGGTAGGAGGGTGGGGAGAAATTGCTGACTCTTACCTCCAACCCAAGAAGTTCTTGAGCTGGACTGAGCCCATCATTCATCTCCTGCCACCCACACCATCAGCTTCTCCCACCTCATGGAGGCTCAGCTGGACCACAGTTCAAGGCAAGAAAGGGACTCTAAGCATCTGTAGAAACATCTTGCTGATTCTGCTAGCAGGCTCTGCTCCCCCCGACTTCCTCCCTCCTCTTCCCTTCTCTCTCTCCCTGAGACAGTATCTCACAATAAATCCTATGACTACTCTCAAACTCATGATCCTCCTGCCTCAGCTTTCTTGCTCCTAGAGTTGGCTTCTCAGGAAATCCTTAGTCACAATCACAAATACTCTGCCCTCTCCTCCCTAAGCATGCTCCCACTTGCAAGGTCAGGCCTTCTTTGTGGAGGTTTCCACGTCTTGTCACATTCTTCCTCACCCAGGCTGGCCCAGCAGAAATGAAGGAGGTCATCCGAAGGAAGGACTCACCAAGGAAGACGTAAACCCAGAGGAGAATCTAGGCTGCAGCCACAGCCTCCCTACCAATGCTCTCTGCTTTTATTCCCTCATCCCCAAAGCCCAGGAGAATCAGGAGGGGTGGGACCAATGAGAAGGGATCCGAGATATGAGGAATCCAGAAAAGGTGGAAGGGAACCCTCTCTGGAAAGTTTGACTTGCTGTTTACCAACAGGGCTGGAGGTAGCACATGGAGTCCACCATGACAGACACACTTTCAATACCAGGAACCACGTTTTCCTACTAAACCTCACATCCGGTGAAGTAATAGGTTGAAAAAGGCAAGTTGGGCTCTCCAGAAAAGAAACAGTAGAAAGTCCAAACACAGGGTAAATCTCCCCATACCTCTCCACATTGAGACCCTCCATCCTGGCATCCCTTCCAAGTGCACAAGGACCCATTCTTGGGATGGGATCAGTGAAGGAAGATATTTCCTGCCAAGGACAGTCATCTGAAGTCACTAGCTAACACAAAGCAAAAGATGGGAAGTAGTTGTCAGAGACCGACCCCTGGGTTAGAGGACTAAGAATTCAGGGTTGGGGAAGAGGGTCAAAGAAAGGTTCAGGACTAGGTTGAGACTGTGGAAGAGGCTCCAGTTTCAGGTACAGTCACGCATGGGTGGCACAGGGCTCAAGGTGAGTTTCCTGCATTCTGGGAACACGATGACTCTAAGAACAGAATTTGGTTAGGGGCATAACCCCTAATCTTGGCTAAAGTTCCACCCTAGCCTGCCTAGTTCCTCTCCACTGCCCCCTTTGTCACTCCACCACAGCTATTACACGAGTGATACAGCAGAGACTTGTCTCTAAGCAACAGGAGTTTCCGAAAGTAGAGAGTGATGCAGGAGGAGGCTCCGGGGAGCACACTCCCATGAAAGATGGGCAGATTGACTGGGAGTGCAAAAAAAGAGAAGATGGGCTTGCTTAGCCTGGACCTAAGTCTCTATAGTCAAACTCCAAGGGAACAACTGAGTCACCTACCCCACTCCCCTGAGGCTGGAGCGAAAAGCAGATATGATGAGAAGGGAAGCTTGGAGAGCAAACTCACCTGCCTTGAGACAGCTTGTGGGTACCTTTCCTTAAGCATCCCTGTATCACAGAGGCAAGGGCTTTACATCTAATCTCAGTCCCATTCTTGGCACTCTGGAACCACTGACCGTAAGCCTACCCTAAGGAGAAGCAACATTTGCCTCATGTTCTAGGGGTGAGAGAGTGAGGATATGGGGATCTCGATTTTCTTTGTCAGATCATATGGCCAAAACTCTGTCTAAAACTATGGTCATCTCCCCATCATCTGCTTCACTGCCATTACCCACCCCCACCTATTTTCCTGAGGTCCCTTGTCCTCCTCTAAGCAACATGATTCTAAGAAATAGTAGATCCTGTCCCAGAGCCCTCTGAGTATGGGGACAGTATGTTAAGAGAATGGCTATTTCAGTCAGCCATGGTAGCATACGTCTGTAATCCCAGAACTTGGGAAGCTGGCTAGGAGGATCAGAAGTTCAAAGCTAGCTTTGGCTACAAGAGTGAGACGTCTTCTCTGAGAGAGAGAGAGAGAGAGAGAGAGAGAGAGAGAGAGAGAGAGAGATTTATGTTCTCACAAATGATCTCTCTATACTGCCCTTCTTCATCCAGCCATGGACAGGAAAGGATTAATCCACTGTTTGGAGCTAGTGAGCTAGAATGGGTAGCAGGGCAGGACCTGGACTATAAATGTCAGGGATGGGTGCCAGTCCACCTCCCCATCCTTCTGGACTCCTTCCTTGTGACTCAGGCCCGTTGTCTTCCCTCCAGACTCCAACCAGCAACAGATGTGACCTTCAATCCCATCCCAACTTCAGTTTGAGCCCAGAGGCAGATCTGGAGAGAGAAAGGAGGGTGGTGGACTGGCTAACTTCCCACATCTGGAGCCTTTCAAGCCAAGCCTCTGGTGGCTTCTGCCTTAAGTATTCCCAAAGTTTTCTTTGTTGCACGTATGTGCGCGCACACACACACACACACACACACACACACTTGCATGCTAGTTAAATCAGCCACTCAACCCCTACCCAACCCTTTCTAGTTTTGTTCCCTCAAGGCTCAACTCCCAGCTCAACTCCCCGCAGTCCCCACCACTACCCTGTGATATACCCTCCCTCAACACCCAACCCACAATCTCCAGTCTCTTAGGCAACAGCACATAGTTTCAAGACTCTTTATTGAACTCGCTCAGCATTGTGCATATGTATGAAGAAGCCAGAGTAAGGCACTATGCTCAGAGCCAAAAGGGAAGAGCCCCCTCCTCCCGAAGACCACGCCCCCACACTTCATCTGCAGAGTCTTCACTTCTTCCGGGGCTGTTTATCTGGGCAGCCTTCAAAGAATTCATTGCACATCATGGCAATGCAGGACAGGAAGACGCAGTACTCCTGGAAGTCTACTTCGTTATCCCTGTTGCTGTCCAGGTTGCTCATCAGCTTCTGGAATCCTGCTTCATCTCTCTTTTTCTGGGAGTAGAAGAAGAACAGTTAGAAGCCAGACCCAAGCTAGATCTCTGCCTCCAGCCAGGTGTTCAGGAACACCTGAGTGCCTCTGGGCACTCAGGAAGCCTTGGGACTAAGCTATGTAGAGGAGGATGTGCCCTAGATGCGGGCACTTGAGGTAGCTGGGAACGGGGAGGACCACATCTTCTCCTTGTTTGCTTTAATTATCTCATTAGGTAGCAGCCATGGCAGTGATGCATTAAATTAACTAATGCAAGGTGTTATTGAGGAGAGACTCTGCAGGTGTTTGTGTGCCTCCACCATCGTGTCTTCACAAACAGAAACTCAATTTCTCTTGCCAACAGTCCTGATCTAGCCTGCAGTTCAGACACTGACTATGTTAGGCAGTTGTTTTGCTTTTTCTCTGTCTCTTCGGTTGTGTTCATTCTAAGCCTTCTCTCAGCTGAGGGCTAATGAGGGATAGATGGTTCACTGTGGTTCCACACCAAGCACCCGGAGCAAGCTCTCCAACCTCCATTTCCCCACCTTAGAGATATACGCCAACTGTAGCTAGGCACTACCTACCAGAGTCCCAACCTCCTCCTGGGGATGCACCACACATGAAATACACAGGCAGGACCCACTCACCCCCAAAAAGCTAGGCAGCTCCCTGGTCAGCAGCTCCTTCAGCTCAGACTTGTTGAGCTTGAACTTATCACCCTCTTTGCCTGAGTATTTGTGGAAGGTAGACACCATCATATCCAGGGCCTCTTCTAAGGGGTATTCCATGGTGACAGTTGAGAGCTAGGGGCAGGAGACACAAAGGTAGCCTTACCCAACCCACACCAACAGTGTATCAAGAACTGGCTATGTGGCACTGCTCATCACCCAAGTCATAGACTCATTCTGCCCCCATTTTAAATGCTCCATTCCAACCTACCCTCTAGGAACACTTCAGGAGACTGTCCTCATTCCCAGAGAGATCAGAGGAGTGGGACCCACTAATGGCAAGATGGTCGTGTATGCTTTGGGCTCTGAAACATGCAGAGCCTACCATACAATCTCTGGAGATTCGTGCCAGCAGCTTTTGGGCTGACTGTCCTCGGGCCTGGCCTCAACAACAGCAGTTTTCCGTCCTTGCTCAGCTCAACCACAAGCACCAGGCTCTGGCCCGTTCTTCCCCCTCCCAGCATTGGGCGCGGCTGCTGGCTGCCTGCCCATGGGCCCACAGCGGAAAAAACCCAGCTGCCTATTGACCAGCTTAGTGAGGAGTGAGATGAGGTGGCAGAGGTAGGGGCACAAGGGGAGGGTGGGGAAGCCAGGCTCTCTTGACCTGGGGTGCTGGATGTCCATAAGGCACTAATATGAACACAGAAGTCTACAGGTGAGTGCTGGAGTGGTAGCCTGTAAGTAGAGGTGCCTGCCACTAAGCTTGATGGCCTGAGTTTGATCCCCAGAGCCCATGGTAGAAGGAGCAGACTGACTCCCTCCCACAAGTTGCCCTCTTACCTCCACAAGTGCACCTTGGCATGAGCCCCCCATCCCCAACCCACGCATGCATGCACACAAATAAATAACTGAAGTTTAAACGTTAAGAAGAAAGCCTACATGTTCCCTCACTTTGCTTCCTGCACCTGCTTTCCCGCACACACTGGCTTGAATGACCCAGCAAACACCCATCAGGGTACCTATCCATGGCTCCCAAACACAGATGTACACTGTAGCAACAACACGTGTAAGCCTCAGCATCTTAGAAATCTTGAGAGCTCAAATGGCATCTATACACCTTTTTGTTGCTGTTTTCATTCTTGTGCAACACACACAGACACACACAGACACACAGACACACAGACACACACACACACACACACACACACACACACACACACACACACACACACACACAAAGCCTCCACATCAGAATCTCTCATCTGGATCTAGTAAAAACATCTGTCTCCCCAGAAGCCTCCCTTTCTCCTGTCCCAGCCTCAGCCTCTGACACCACTAATACTGCTATGAAGCCAACACAACTCACCAGACCCAGAGAGAGGAAGTGCTGAACAGAGAGGTTTGGGGAAAGCTCAAATGTCTGCCCTATTTATACTCTGCTGGGCCCTGCCCATGCAGGGGATGGGGGGAGCTTGGATACTATGTTCCTACTGTTGGCTGATGTAGTAAATGTCACAGGCCCCTCCACCAGCCCAACCTGAGAACCAAGCTTCCTACTACCCAGCAGGCACAGGCGAGCATTGAGTAAGCCCCAGTGGACACGAGAGACCTGAATGGTGTGGATACCACCCAGTAGCCACAGCTCAGCCAACTTTTAAGGAAGCTTTGAGAAGGGGCAACATGGGCATGGGATGTGGGCCACAGGAAAGAAGATGGGGAGGTGATGGGCAAGAGGGGAATATGGAAATGTATGGCCCAGGAATTGGGGAGGTGACCCCGGCCAGTGGGACAGTCAGCCCTTCTCTCCAGCCTAAACAGCTCTCTGTCACGCTCAGTAAGACCCAGAGTGAAGACTGGCAAGTCGGGAGGGGCCTTGGTACCACCCTAGGTATTAAGTGGGAAACGCCTAAGAGGGCGTGATGGAGTTAGGGCAGTAATGAGGCCTCGAGGTTCATGAATGGGTAGAAGGTCCAGGGAGGGTATTGGGGCTGATGGGAGCATTCAGGTTTGAACACTCAGCTTGGAGAAGAGAGTTACAGGAGAAACAGGTAAAATGGGGAGTCAGGATTAATCTCTAAGGATGGGGTACAAATACGGGGATTGAGCAATGGTCAGAAATGGGAACTTGGGACCCTCAGGGGCTGTGGTTTCAGAGATGAGGACTGACTCAAAGTATCCCTTTCCCCTTGCAGTAAATACAGAGGCTCCCTCCCTGGCTGGCAGCAAATACCTCAGAGGCCCCAATCCTATTGCTACTGCTCTCTGGTTTCCCACAGCTATGCCACACCCATACCCACATACCTCGATGCTCTAATCACAAGTACTGAGTTTCTCCCAAGGAGCCTCTTGCCCTCCTAGAAAGCCCAAAACAAGGGCTTCCACCTCAAGACAGGGGACAGAGAGATGGAGACAAAGACCCCCAGCCTCACCTGATGGGGACTTGTAATGGCCCCACCTTCCTACTGAATACTGAGACTTATGCATTCCTATGGGGTCTGGAACTGCCTTTAGGGCCCCTGCCTTCAGCTGCCTTCCTCCAGCGATATGGAACATAGAGGGGTAAAGACTCCCAAGGACTCAGTCCCAAAATCCAGTGTGTCCCATCAGAAGAACCAAACCAAGCCAAGCTGACATTTCTTTATTAGGAGTTGAGCAGGCCCCTGCCACAGTGTGCACATGGCTGAGCCTCCAAAGTGAGAGAGCAAATGTTCTCCCTTCCAAGAAGAGAAGCTACTGTTCCACCCCTCACTACTTTGACATCCCTAGGAAAGCTTCTACTGTGCATGAGTAGCCAGGGTTAGCACATCAGGGACCTGGCAAGCCCCGACTGAAAGGATACCACAGAGAGGGTAGGAAGGGTGTGGCTACACACTCAGGATCACCTCAGGGACAAAGACGGAGCACTAGAGCAGACCCTGACCTTCCAGAATGGCATACCCTTCTGGATCAGAGGCTACTGGGGGCAAGGGGGCTCAGGGGGGCAGTCTTTGAAGTACTCGTGGCAGTAGAGACAGAGGCTGGCAAGCGCGCGCACGTACTCCCCAAAGTCCACCTCGCAGTCCTTGTTGGTATCCAGAACACTCATGAATTTATTGTAGTCACACTCCCGGAACTCACTCTGTGGAAGGGATGAGAAGGGAAGGTCAGGAAACCTGGGATGAGGAGCCTAAGCAGCTTTCCACGCCACTCCCCTCCGAGGGTGGGCCTGCCCCATTCCCAACCACACCCTCCTGGGGGCCAACCTCATCCTACCCATCCTGATAAGACACCCATCTCCCAGCCCTGCTTCTCGGCTCACTTGCTGAGCACCGACTCCTTGCCATGGAGAGTTTGCTATGAGATAGGTATTATCCACAGGACAGTAAGAGTGACTGTCACCCTCCTTTTTTGTTTTTTGGTTTTGTTTTGTTTCTTTTTGGTTTTTTGGTTTTTCAGTTTTTTTGGTTTTTCGAGACAGGGTTTCTCTGGATTGTTTTGGAGCCTGTCCTGGAACTTGCTCTATAGACCAGGCTGGCCTCAAACGCACAGATATCCCCCTGCCTCTGTCTTCTGAGTGCTGGGATTAAAGGCGTGCGCCACCAACATCTGGCCCTGTCACCCTACTTTACATTCCATTTTGCTGAGGCTCATGCAGCCATGTCAGCTCACTTCCTCGTGTCCCCTCTCCACAGTCCAGCCTCTCCCTCTTGCTGCCCTATGCTGGTGTTTGGTCCCAGGCCATTCTTTGCAGAGTCCAAGTGGTACCTTCCACTAGGGGGAAGGGGTATGAAGGTGCTCACCGGGGTCCAAGTGGGCAGCTCCTTCTGCAGCAGCTCCTTGAGCTCCGACTGACAGATCTTGTACTTGTCCCCACAGCGCCCAGCATACTCCTGGAAGGTGCACACGATGGCAGCTACTGCCTGCTCCAGGGGCCGGGTCATCCTCACTGTCACAAAAAAGGGATGTGACTCACAAGGAAAGCCAAGTCAGTGTTTCCCAGGAGCTAATTCCAAACCTGTCAACTTCCACCATGCTGAAGTTTCCCTTCCTCTGAGCAACCCTCCTTGACAACTGCTTACACACACACACACACACACACACACACACACACACACACACCACACATACACACTCACACATACATCACATATACACACACTCACACACACACATATACTCACACACATACACACACACCACACATACACACATCACACACTCAAACACATACACACATACAAACCCACCACATACACACATACCACACATACACACACTCAACACACACATGACTTATACACACATTCATACTCACACACACACACACACCACATACACACACACCGCACATACACACACTCACACACACACACACACCCATACACACACACACCACATACACACATACCACACATACCCACACTGATTCACCTCCCCATTGTGCCTGTTGTGATTTTTCTGGACAGACGTTTCATTTCCCCAACATTTCCATAAATTCCTCAGGAACAGAATATCACACTCTGTCACCTTCACCCTCACTGAGCTCTGATTCCCTCAAGTCCTTTCTCACCCCAACTCCTGGGAACTCTGTCTCCCCATTGGGCACGATGCAGTCCCTGGTCCTAAATACCTCTGCCCCATGGGCACCTGAAGCTCCATCCTGTAAGCCTTGCTCAGGAAGCCCTGCCCAGTGCTGCTTTGCCCTAGCGAGGCTAATGTCAGTAGGGATGGTAGCTTGAGGGGATCCCCTGCCACCTCACTTGGCCTTCTTCCCTGCAGTTGGGGACCCTCATCCTCTTGCTCACTCTGCAGCCCTGGGTGAACTGTTTCTCTCTGGGTCTCAATTGTCTTTTCTGTAAAGTGGGTTAATGCGGCCTCACAGGCCTAGTCAGAAATGTGGACCAGACGGTCTCTGAGAAGTTCATCAGCTCACAGATCTACTCGTTTATGACCTGCCCAATCTTACAGCCATCCTCCCTTCCCCTGGAACTGAGGGGGTGGGGGTAGTCTTAACACAGAAAGAAGGCTTTGAGAAAAGTCCCCCACTCTGATGGGAGGGAAGCACTTCCTAGAATCCCTTCCCTCGCCCCCTTTCTGTTGTTCCCTTCCATTGCCCATCCAGCCTGGGCAAACCCTGGGCAGGCCGAGAGGCAATAGAGTTGTTTCCATGTGAGTCCAATGACTCACTCTTCACTCCCTCAGGGACTGGAGTCCTGCAGCACAGGGCAGCCAGAGCCAAGACTTGGTGAGTTTCCTCTGCTGGGAGCAAATGGGCAGCAAGGAAGTATGGGGATGGGCAGAAGTGGCAAGCATTGCTGGGGTCTACTTCTTCATGACAGCCCAGGCCGGAACAAGGATCCATATCCGAATAGAGGGAAGGGCCATGATCCCAAGAGCTCAGCACCTCAGAGCCCTTCTGAGCACCTCCCAGCCTGCATGGCACCACTTCTGTTGCTATTTCAGAAGCCCTGGCCTGTCCCAACTCATCCCCAAGAATGAAGCAAAGAGACAAGGAGCTCACTTAAGGTCTGCATCAGAACCATAGCTAGGCCACTGTCCCCACATCAGTGGGCATTTTGCCTGGGCACACTCCCCAGGCCAAACTCCTACAGACCCTTAGTGTTCAAGGGAACCTCTGAGTTCACCACATCTGATTTTCCTCACCCATCACCTCCTAACTTAACCTTTCTGCTTCCATACCCGGGCCCTGTATCCAGGAGCAGGCTAGCTGTGGATAGGTACCTGAGCTGCCCCAACACCTAGCCCAAAGCTGTTCCCAAACAGCCACACTCACCACTGCTGCTGGTGTCTCAGCTGTAGGAGCCTAACAACTGGGTGTCCCTATTTGTAGCCTCTCAAGAGATGAAGGGAGCAATTATAAGGACCCAAGTAGGTCAACACTGAGGCTGCCCCCAGGGTCCCCTGCCTTCTTCCCTCAGTAGCTTCTATTACAGGCCCACCACCCACCTAGCAACGCACAGATCAAAGACCCAGTCTGAGTCTCAGACACCACTCCCAACTCATTCCCACTGCCCTTCCCTAAAGCGGAGAACAGGCAACAGCTTTCTGGTAGCCACTTCCAGCCACATACATCCCTCTCCTGAGCTCTTTGTCATAAAGATACCCAGAATACAAAATGGGAACATACCTTGGATTCTCTTAAGTTGTACCTCCAGAGTCCCTGTACAGGGCAGACCTTGGGAACACCTGGCTAAGGCCCCTATTTACAGGTGAGAAGTCTGAGGCCATAGGACACCCTCTGTGCCCAGCCTCCAGATCACAGAGTGTTTGGTGGCCTTTGGCTGTGAATTGCTTATTTCACTGGAGGAAATCGTGGTGAGGTATTTTCGAGACCTAGAGGAAGGGAGTTCCTCCTGGGGAGCCTCCAGCTGTCAGGGCTTGAACTTTCTTGCCTCTCTACTCCCAGTGATGTGGATGAATTTGGGCCACAGATTCAGGTGAGAGCTGGCATGTCCCCAGCTCCTGAGGAAACTGGTTTCATAGCCTGCTGCTCTGCTTAGCACTAGGTCAACTTTCCAAGCAGTCCAGGGGGTAGAGCATTCATTTGCCTTTTAGCTTAAGAGAGTTGCCCCATGGGGGTTCGGCATCGTCTGTCTACTTTTGTCCCCTCCTGTGTGAGCCCTGGGCTCCAACTTTGTCTTCCTCACTCCCCAGATCATCAAACCCAAATTCAAGTTTAGGCTTGCCAAGAGCCCTCAGGTTCCCTACTCAACTTCCCAGATTTTGCCATCACCTAAGTTTTTTTATGAGGTGTTTGTTTTGTTTTTTGTTGTTTTTACTTATTTTTACTTTTGTGTATGTGCATCAGTGATGTGCACATTAGTGCAGGCACCCACAGAGGTCACAGACGTTGAGTCCCCCATGGAGATGGGGTTACAGGTGGTTGTGAGTCACCTAATGTGGGTGCTAGGAGCCAAACTCTGGTCCTCTGCAAAAGCAGTACACGCTTTAACAGCTAAACAATCTCTCCAGAGATTCTGGTAGAGTCTCTCTTTCTTCCTTTCTTTCTTTCTTTCTTTTCTTCTTTCTTTCTTTTACTTTCCTCATTTCTTCCTTTCTTCTTCTGAAACTGTTTTTTTAGATGCATTTATTTTTATTTTACATGTGTGAATGAGTGCCTACACATGCCTTCTCCCAGGAAGGTCAGAAGAGGGTGTTGGATGCCCTAAAACTAGAGTAATAGGGGGTTGTGAGCCACGATGTGGGTGCTGGGAACCAAAGCTGAGTCCTCGGCAAAAAACAGCAAGTACTCCTAACCTCTGAGCCATCTCTCTAGACACAAGGGGCTTGTTTTGTTTTGTTTTATGAGACAGAGTCTCTCTACATAGCCCCGGCTATCCTAGAGCTCACTATGTAGACCAGGCTGACTCAAATTCACAGAGATCCACCTGCCTCTGCCTCTGTTGGGATCAAAGGTGTGTGACACCATGTCTGTTCTGGCTTTCTCTTAATACCTTGTTATTCTTTGATGTTTTGAAAAAGATCATTTTAATTCTGTCCAGCATTCCCTGCCATTCTTAGCTGGCAAAGGTCAGACCACCATTCACCAGATGTGAAAATCCTCCTCTCCTGCTGCCTCCTCTCTGTTCACTCCCAACCCCTAAGCTTCCATGTCACATGAGTGTGCACACACACACACACACACACACACACACACACACACACACACACACACACACACACAAAAGAAAGGGGAAAAAACACCCAGAAGAGCACCAGAAGGAGAAGAGCAGCCTGAGTTCCTGGCCAGTGACAAAACCCTCATGCCTGTATGGGCAGTCTGAGAGCCCTTGACCTCACCCTGGACCCAGCACCCAGCTTTGCCCAGGCCACCATCTCCTCCTGGAGGTTGCCAGCCATGTGGGTGAGGGGAGTGAGCAATGGAGGCAAAAGGAAGGAAGAGCTGTGATTAGCCCTGTTTTATTGGCAAGGAGTTATGAGCAGTTTGGGACACAGGACAGAGATGGTCACACAGCAGCAAAAGGAGGTACCAGAGATGACCAGCAATTAATTTGCTTCTAGGTCAATGACTTATTCCCACCAGCCACCAGTCACCTTAAGCAAGTCATCTCCACTCTTGGGACCTGATTTTCCTGATTGATGGAAATAAAAGTAGTAGCCATCTCATAGGGTTATTGTGGAGTTTATCACAAGCCAGGCTCATGGAACAAATGTTGCTAAAATATAGTAAGGACTTGGTAAATGCTAACCCAGGGAGGTAGTGACTTACCCAGGGTCATGTAACTAGTGAGTGGCAGACTCGATATTCACTATTCATACAAGTAATTAGAGGCACTGATACTAGGCATCCGGGGTATAGCATAAACAAAACAGACGCAGACCCTCTCAAGGGAAATGACAATCTAGTGGGAGAAACAGACAATAACAAACTAATGTTTAATAAGCTGGAGAGTTCCATAGCCTAGCTCCTGAGCCCACTTTCTTATCCAACAGCCCTTCCTGCTCCTGGGCACAGCCACAGCTCCTAGGAACACTGCATCTTTGTCCATGGGGAGAAAGCTGGGAGAGGCTAAGAGACTTGTCTTGGTAGAGATGTGGGGTTGGAGGATGCACATGGAAAAAACACTTAATGCACATGGAAAGAACACTTAATTGGCCTTCACTCAAAATTCCATCCCTGCTCACCACCTGACTTCAACATGTTTGAAGATTTGTTAGAGATTGAATTTCCTTGTTAGAAATATAATTTCCTTATCTCTGAAGAGGGTTTGGAAGATTCTTACCCTAAGAATCCAAAGTATTGCCTTGTATGATAGAGCAGGTCTTTCATCCCAGCACTTGAATGGCAGGGACAAGTTGATCTTGGTGAGTTCAAGCCCAGCCTAGTCTACATAGCAAGTTTCAAGCCAGTCAGAAGTACATAGTGAGATCTTGTCTCAAAAATTTTTTTCAAAGTACTTTTTGTTACTAGTTGTTACTGAGGCAATGTGAGGGCTCTGGCCCCCAAGTCTAACTCAACAGAACACACTGAATTCCCTACATGGGAACAGTGGAACCAGACCTTCCTCACCGGGTCATCTTTCTCAGCTTCTGCCTCCACAAAGATGGAGGTCAGGACTCTAAATTCTCTTCCCTTGTTCCCAAAAAACCTTCTTAAAGTACCTGGTATCTTCCTGTCATCCTGGAAGTTTTCCAGCATCTACCCAGAAGCCCTTTCTTGCGGGTGACCCCAATGCGCAGAAGTGGACACCAGTTCCAGGGCCTGGACTAGAGTCATCCTCCTTCCTTCCCACTCTCTCCCACACACATGCTCCATCTCCACCCTTAGGCTGAGCCCTCACCTTGCATAGCTCCCCGAGGACAGGTGAGCTGACCGCTGAGAAATGCGGCTAGGAGCATCACCTCAAAAGATCAGCAAGAGAGTGTGCAAAGGCGAAAGCAGATGCTAGCCGATCTGGCAGGACTTCTTACAAGCCGAAACCCTGACTCTCCCTTGGCTCCCCTCTGGCTCCTCACTATCACCACCATCGCCTAAGATCCCTGGAAAACACATCACCCCTCTAAAGGGCAGTGTCTGATCCTGCACCTCAGGGAAAAATAAGATAGAGTGTCCCAAGAATCTGGACACTCAATTTATTTCTGGCAAAGGGGCCCGAGCCCTAAAGCCAAAGTGACCACCCAAATCTAATGGCCCCATGAGGTTAAGTTAACTTGACTGAAACAATCAACCTCCTTTCTGATCTTCTGGGCCAAGGATGGAGAACATATGGAAAGGAGTATCTGATTACCGGGACCAGCACTGGGGCCAGGGAGGAATTTGGAACCGGAGCTGAAGCTACAGAATTGGAGCTAGAAAAAGGGAAGAGAATCTAAGCTAGGACCAAGAAGAGCCTGCAGAGATTAGATCTACTGCTTGCTCTGAAAATCAAGCCAGTGGCTGGTTGTGTCCACTGCACAGATGAGAACAGCGAGTTGGTAGAGCAATCAAGTGACCCACGTGGGAGCTGTGGAGTAGGGTACCAGTTCATCCCATTGTCCCAGAACCCATAACTCGGTGGTATGTGGGTGTTCTTAAGGGTGGAGCCATCTAAAAATTCAAGCTTTGCTTGCTCTTAGTTGACTTTGAAAATCAGTAGCTTTGGAGGCGATGAGCTAAGCAAGTCTCCTAATTCAACTGACATTTCTGGCTTAAAATTATAAAAGTCACCTAGCCCCCACCACACACCTGGCCCATCACACCTGGCACAGGCATAGGTGAGCCAGCCCTAGAATTGTAAGCATGGGAGAACTGTCCCTATTACCCTCCCCCCCACCCTCCACCCCTGCCCTTCAATGCCAGGGACAGGAGGGAGAGCTGCCCCCTGTGGTATAAGAGCAGAGAACCAACCCTGTTAGCCCAGGTGTGGACGAGCCAGCCCTAAAGTTGTAAACATGGGAGAGCTTTCCCTAGTTCTCATCTAGCGGACCAACTACACAGTTGCTCAGGCCCAGACCCAGGGTTATGATTTGGTCTGCCCTGTGATCTGCTGGAGCACACGAAGGGACCAGACCCACAGACCCAATGCTGCAGGACCTCCACAACACAGGGCGACAACAGGGCATGGAAGAAGAGCGCTAGTGGGGCCCAGTGTTGACAGTGTAGTAGAAATCAGAGGCCTTGAACCAGACCAATGACTCTGCAATGAACACTTGCAAGTAAAGCTATATGTGTTTACTGTGTGGCTCACTGGGTCACACTGCAGCTTCCATAATGAGATATTTTAAATTTTTCCCTTAATTTTTTTCTTTTTTCTCTTAAATTTTGTTTTATTTCAAGGGGCGTGTAGGGGCAGAGGGCTGATGTGAAGGGACAGGGAATGAATGGGATCAAGATTCATGATGTAAAAGACACACGGATTTAATTAACTACAAAGTCACCTAGGTGCTGGGCACCAGTGACATATACCTTTAATCCCAGCACTCAGGAGGCAGAGGCAGGCGGATCCCTGTGAGTTTGAGGCCAGCCTGATCTACAGAACAAGTTCCAGGACAGTCAGGGCTACACAGAGAAACCCTGTCTCAAAAAAACAAAACAAAAGTCACCTAGGGAAGCCACTTCACTGTACACACTGCCCCTCTGGTCCTCGGGAGTGTCTAATGGATGACTACCACAAGATACAATCAAGGTTGGCACTGCATGCTCTACTCTTAGAACTGGGAAGGCTAAGGCAGGATGATCGCTGAAAGTTTGAGCACAACCTAGGTTTCATAGCAATGTCTTGTCTCAAATAAATAAATAAATAAGGGTGAAAATGCCAGGGGCTTCCACTATTTGTGCTTGTCTCCTGTGCTGCCTTAACCTTTGGGTCAGATTCTGCTGAACTATGCACATAGACACATTAGTCATTTGGTGAATATTTGCCTGGACTCCCAGGACAAGAGCAACTTACCCTAACCTCTTTCCTCCCGGTCCAAGACTAAAGACACCAAGATAAGAGTAACTAAGATGTTTTCAAGATTCACAGACACATCACTGCCTTGTGACTGCACAATGTCCTACTCCAGATCACGAGGAGGGTACAGGGAATCGGGAGCCACCCCTATCTATGGCGAACATCTTTCCCTCTTGTTTAACGATAGAAGGGCCTTGACTGCTGGATTAAGGTGATGTCTATCCGACCATCCTTCTGTTTTTCTGGACTAGATCTTTTTACTTTTTACTTGTCTTGTTCCCTGGGCTCCAGTCTGAGTGGCTGAGCAAGCAATCAGCTTGGATGTGGCAATTAACTCACCTTGGCCTTCAATCTTCCTTTCCACAGAGCATTAGAGACCTTTCTGTGGTTGAGCCACACAATAAAATGGTGGTATAACAGGAGGTGAGCTTGCTACATTTCTCATCCCAGCACAATTCCAGGAGGAGTGGGGGAGATCTGGCCACAGATCCCTGACAAGCAGAGTGATGTCCAGACCCTCCTCTGCCTCAGCACAAGGAAGAGAGAGGCTTGTTAGTCTGGATTCAACAGTCTGATGTCAGTTTGTCAAATACCAAAAGGAATGTTTAGCCACTTTGGAACCTCTCCAAGTGTGTGAAACCTTGGAGGCAGCAAGGTAAGTCTGGTCTTGCTAGCCCAACTGACTGTCCAAATCCAAAACCGAGGAGCCTGCACCCATGCAACACTAAAAGAAAAATTAGAGTTCACAGAGCAAACCACCTGCAAGGAGGTCCCATCTCCCTGTGACTCCGGGTTAATGTACCGGGTACATCTGAACCATATTCAGCCAGGTCCCCTCCAGGTCACACAAAGCCCAAAGTTCTGGAGATAGCTTCAGAAAGTAGAAAGAGGCCCAGTCTGCCAGCCCAGTGTCCCACAGGGATGAGGAGTTTTCTTATAGATTTAGGTCAAGTCCAGACACTAGTCCTTAATGTCTTGCAGCCTCTGTTTCATCCACAGGTATGGTGAGGATTAAATGGCTGCTGCATGAGTAGGCCAAGTACCTAGTCAGAAGCAGCACTCCACAAATGGCTGAAGCTGCCCCTCTCTGCTTTCCCATCTGTAAAAAAGCTTTAATGATAGCCCCTTTGGACTTACCATGGGGCTGAAATGACAGTGTGCTCACAGGAGCTTTGAGAACTGCCCCAGGATGCTAATTACTGGCATCATGACTCTCATACTTACCGATCCCTCTCCAACAGGTGTCAAGAAGGTGGGCTTCTCTCTTTTTATTACCATGGAAAGAAACCATTTGTCCCAGAGGGCCTGCCTGGCCTTGTCTCCCAGCCCTAGATGTGTAGGGAGGACAGGGCACTGAGACTAAGTTGCTGTCACAAGGCCTCTCACCGGGCCCCTGCCTCCTCTTCAGAACTCTGTGTGATCTACTCTCCAAGTGGCTCACACACGGAGGACAGTCCCAGGGAAGAAAGGTCCAACTTGTCTCCTCACATAGTGTGGGCTTCTCAGAGCATGGCCCTTAGCTTCTGACATACCTTAGGGAGCTGTATCACTTCTGCTGTAGTTTATTCATTGCACAAATCATTGAGATTTGCACAAATCAGATTCAGGAGGAACCCACATAAAGGAGTTGTCATCTAATCTTCACATGTACACCACAGCATACACAACACCCTCATCACACACACACACACACACACACACACACACAAATATATATCCACAATGTCAAATTCTTTACTAATTTGGAGTTTTATTTTCAGCGGTAAATTGTAGAAAACTTGGCTGACAGTGTCTTTAATCATTTTACATAATAAGTCTGCTGTAGGTAGTTGGGGTTGGGTAGAGGGCCCAGGGACACATGTGAAATCTAGTGTCCTTTCATTGTTTTGTTCTTTAAACCTACAACACACGTTCCGCTATACCGTGTTTGTTGATTCCTGATCACAACACGGCTGCTATACCTCCAAGTCTCATTGTCCATGCTCTAGGTGGAAGACAGAGTGATGATGAGAGCTGAAAAACTTTGTCCTCAAGAGCCTTTGCCTTGTTAATATGGCAGAAATGACCTCTCTGTGCAGGGCTTCACCTACATCTTTTGGGGCTTAGCAAAGTAATATGGCTACTTCTAGCTGGGGATGTTGACATCTTAAGAGAAGGGGAAAAAAGCTGTTGTTTTTTTAATAAAAGAGGAGATGGATAATAACCATAAAAACACAAGTAAAGGCAGTGCTTTTCTGACTGTTTTCTCTTTTCCCTGGGAAACTCTGATGTGTGTGGGCCACTTGCAGAGTAGAGCAGACAGAGCTCTGAAGAGGAGGATGGAGCCCAGTGACAAACCATGGGACAGCCACTTGCTCTCAGTGCTCTGACCTCTCTACATATGTAGGGCTGGGAGACAAGGCCAGGCAGGACCTCTGGGGCAAATGGCCTTTGTTCATGGTAATAAAAAGAGAGAAGCCCACTTTCTTGATGTTTATGTGAAATCCAAAAGAGCAGAGCCTTTGGCCTCAGGAGAGTTGGAGAGCAGAAGGTTTTGGAAATCATAGCAATTTCTGTTTCCAGCCCTTTGACTGATCTAGCAGAAGCACAAAGCATCGCTAGCCATTGCAATATCATCCACAAATGAACAAACAAACAAAAGTTTATTTAGTACAAGATTCAGAAAGATAGAGAGCCCCGTTAGCCAAGAAGACATGTGACAGAGAGTGGAGCTCTCTACTCCAGGGCCAGGCTGGGGACCCCAGGAAGAAGTCATTGCACATCATAGCAATGAGTGCCAGAAACAGTGCCAGTCACTGTTCTCATCAAGGTCGCCCATCAGCTTCTCTAGCCCCTCCTCATCCTCCTTCTCCTGAAGATGACAGGCAGGGGAGCTATCACCAAGCTGGTCCCTGCCCTACCCACCACCAAAACCTCCCCTTTACAGCAGCCTCCAGTGTCCTCTCCTCACTGGACAGTCAGGTTCGACCCCAGTGAGGTACCAAGAAGGCCAGTGAGGACAGACAGACAGATGTGTGATATAAGAGTCTCCAGCACTCCTGCTGGAGTGAAGGATGCTGGGTGTTCCTCAGACTGTAACTCCAACCTCCACTAGAGCCCAGCTTCATCCTGACGATGAGAAAAATCAAAGCTTTCTGCCCCCTGCATCAGCAGGATGAATTCAGAAAAGACAAACTTTTTAATCCAGCCACAACAATGAGAGAGCTAACCCCAAATGAAGCAAAAAAAAAAAAAACCTGCTTCATATATTACGGCCTGAGACCTGACTCTAGGGCAGGAAGCAAATGAGAGCTAGCTGTATCTCATTTGCAAAAGTCCCAGGGTGCATGTCTTAGCTAGAATTCATTCTCTCTGAACACTTTCTTGGCTTGCCATATACATGTGTAAAATAAAAGGAGAAATTAATGCCCTAGTTATGTCCTCCTGTGACCCTGGGCCAGCTGCTACCCTTCTGTGAGTTTGTGACTGTTCAACTAGCAAATAACAGGATTAGACTGATGGACTCTGAAGTCCCCAACAGCAATGTGCTCAGGAATACAGAAGGCAACAGCCATCAATAAGCCCATTCACATGTAGACCTAACAGCCACCCCAAGAACAGGTGAAATGAAAGCTGATAGAGAGATCCTGAGCCCCACCCTGGCACTGGCACCTTGAGAATGAAAGCTGGAAAAGATTTACTCTGTGTCCTGTGTCCTGTGTCCTGCCCCCACCCCCACTCTCCGGGACTCTTCCCTTTGGGCCTGCCTCACTTACCCCTACAACACTAGGCAGTTCCTTATTCAAAAGTTCCTTCATCTTTCCCTTGCTGAGTTTGAACTTGTCACCCTCTTGACTGGAGTACTTGTGGAAGGTGGAGACCGTCACATCCATGGCCTCTTCCAGGGGACTGGACATCTTGGATCTTGAGACACAAAAGAACAGTCTACAAGGCCAGTCTACAAGGCCTGCTTCTGCTCCACTAAGCCCCTCTAGGAATGGCAAGTCAGTGCCTGCATCCTGCCCTGGAACTGTGCCTCCCCAAGGATTCGGGTCCACACTGCTGCTTCACACTGTAATCAGATGTTAAACCTCTCCTGTGGTCTGGGAGTCACATAAAGCAGAACCTTGTGTCCTAAGGACACACTTCTGAGGGTAGGCCTCCCTACTTGAGTGTCTTTAGGAGGCAGAGAGGGGACAGGAGGAGGTTGCAGGATGACTAGAGTCTCAATTTGACTCCTATCTGTGCCAGGAATGTAGAGCTTGGCAGTAGCCATGGGAACAGTCCAGAAGTATGAGGCTCCCTGAAGAGGCAGAACCTTTGCCCAAACTCTAATCTACTAAAATCAGAGTCTCTGCCATCTAAAGGGAAGCTCCCTTAGGCAGGAATGCTTCCTCCTTTAGACCAGGGACTCCCTCTGGGTGACAGGCAGGCTCTTTGCAGACAGATGGCAGGATGGAGGAGACTGAACACCCTCCCCATCAGGAAGGATTCTGTTGGGGTTAGAACTAAAAAATGTAAATGGCTAGTATCTTGGGATCAGGCTAGATGCTGAAGAGATGAGGTCAGAGTTCAGAAGTCACTTTTTCCAAATTCCTCTAAAAATATTGGGTGGGTTCCAGGGTAAGGCCAGAGGAGCCTTGGGTGTTCCCTGCCAGGCCTGCCCTGCCCTGCCAGCCCCACCCTCACCCACTTTGAAAAGCACCGGAAGCAGCCTTGGGCAAGGCTCTGCCACCACACAGGGCCCAGGAACCAGTCAGGGCTAAGCACTGAAAGTCTATCTTTGGCTTCTTAGTCCTAACAGAATCCAGGACTTTGCAAAAGCAAAAGCAAAACAAACTTAGTGTTGATTGTTTTTGTGACAACATCTTGCTGTGCAGCCCAGTCAGACCTTGACTTCATGACTTTCCTACCTCAGTCTCCTGAGTGCGGGATTACAAATACACTCCTTTGCAGTTGCATCTGGCTCAAACTAGGGATTCTTATAAAAGCCCTCCTTACATAACCATGACCTAGTCCTAGGCCTAAACCCCAAAAATGGGGCTGTAGATGGACATATCTAAAGTGAGAAACACAGAGACCTCTCCCAGAGATAGGAGAACAGACCACAGATTAACCACTAAGCCCTGGCAGAGGAATCTGGGTAAGGCCCTCCCATTCAAAACTTCACAGAGAGTCCTTCAAATGGGAGATCCCACTTGGAAGGCAGAGAAAACTACATGGACAAGGATCAAGATATCGGAACAAAGATCGAAACCCAGGTCCTCTGTAGGACAGAGACACTCACAACCAGGTTGCAGAGATGCCCAGGAGGGAGCAAAGTAGCCAAGACTCCAAGGGCAGGGAATTATATGCCAGACTGGCCTCCAGTTTGTCATTTTTGGGAAACAGAACCTGTCCCAACCTGATCTTGATAAAATCTGACATCCTTCTACTGGGCTCACTCCCTCTTGTCCACTCCCTCTCAGACAGTACTGGCCTCAGCACCAACTGGAGGATCCTCCAGGCCCAGCCAAGGGCATCCCTGAGCTCACCCAGGCCTCAGCAAGGAGACAGAGGCATTGTGGGAAAGGGGAGCCTAGTCAGGGACTGGGGGTGGGGGTGGGGGGACAGCTTTTTTTCTGGGGCCTAGAGAATCATTCCAAGCCTGGTTCTCATAGTATGCCTGTGAGTCACAGCTCCGTCCTGTGTCAGAGGGTGCAGGGACACAGGGTGGGAGGAAACTTCACAGCCTGTGCTCATGGGTGCATGTGCGTGTGAGTGAGAGAGACAGAAAGAGATGGAGAGAATCAGTCCAGGCCACCCTTAGAAAGCCGGGTCCAAAAGAGCAGCTGGAGGCATCTAGAGGACGATGTCAGGAGGTCTAAGAAATCTTTTGGTGTTTATTTTGTTTTGAATGTCCGGCACCAGAATCCCTCTTAAAGAGGGTAGCAAAGTGAGTGGGTGTGCTTAAAACTACTGCAAAATGAGCAACGGCAATTGTTCCGCACCAGGCACAGACGCAGTGAGCAGCAGTCTGTATAGAATGCAAAAGAGGAAGAAAAGGAGACATGAACCTCGTCTTCTTTCTTTCACAGAAAGGTGAGTGGGTGGGAATGGCTCCCCAACCCCGAGCTGAAAACAGGAGCCTGAACCCAACCATGGCTATCCCTCAGGCCCTCACCTGTCCCCAGTGTCTTCTTCATGGAGAAAAACAAACACTGTGTCCTTCAACTGGGCCTCAGGGAAGAGCTGACCTCAAGACTTCAGACTCCACACTGCCCCCTTCTGCTCTTTATCCCATCCCCAGTAGGCACCACCCTTCCTGTGGGCCCAGTTCTCTTCCCTCTCCAGACTTCAAGCAGCCTCTCTCTGCTCCCCCAGTGCTGGGTGACTCACCCATGGTTCCAGGCCCAGATGCCCAGGTGGTGAGTCAGCGGCACACCCTGCTCCCCAGGGCCAGAGCTGCAGCCAGAAACACCACCCCACAAGCACCAGTGTGAAGCCCCTCACCAGGCGGCACGAGGGAGATGAGGATGGTGACCCCACTGAAATCTGAGAGCTAGCAGAATGGGACCCCCAGTACTCTGCCAGGGTCACCATGGGGACCAGCCTGCACAGCACAGATTAAGTGTGTCTTGGGTCCTCCAGTATCCTCTTCTATGCCTTTGCCAAGCCACCCAGGGTGTCGTCCCCCCCCCCGCCGCCCACTTCCCAAAGCACATGAGTACCCCTCCTCCCCTCCTCATGATGCTTCCCTTCCTGTCACAACCTTCTTTAGATAGAGCGCAATAAAAACTCTCCACCCCGAGGAGGGGCCAACAGGGAACAAAGGGGCCCCTCCATCGGCAGGCCCCTCTCTGCTCGGTGCCCCCCCCCCCCCCCGCCGCCCACTTCCCAAAGCACATGAGTACCCCTCCTCCCCTCCTCATGATGCTTCCCTTCCTGTCACAACCTTCTTTAGATAGAGCGCAATAAAAACTCTCCACCCCGAGGAGGGGCCAACAGGGAACAAAGGGGCCCCTCCATCGGCAGGCCCCTCTCTGCTCAGAAACAACATTGTGTCACTTCCATAAGGTGCACAGTGAAACACTCCACACGCTAACACCTGCCTTCCAGCCTCCCTGCCACTCCTCGCTGAGTGAACAAGGGTACAAGCACATGGTGAAGCCAAGACCCTTGGCTTCGCTGATGACCCTGCTGCTCACAATGTACCCACACTCCCACACAGGTGTCTCCTGCTGAGATCCCATCTACCCTTTGAAGGCCACTTAAAAGGCTTCTCTCACCCAACTGGATTGCATTTCTACCTGCTCTGGCACATACAAAGCACTCCTTGTGCCCCCCCACCATCCCCCCCTCTTTAGCGTCTTCCTATTTAGGCAGATTCACTTGTGTACTCCACTTTCCTCACCCTAGCCATGTGGTGAGCTCACTGATGAATGCTGGCTCTTATTCATTTCTGCATGAGCACAGGATCTTGCCCACGCCAGGTGCCGCCCAGCCTTTATGACTGCTAACTGGCAACAGGGGTCACTGGGACTGGTGGGTAGGTAGGAGCAGGGAGTGGGGGAAGGGGAGTCTCTTTTCTCCCTGCCTGAAAGCACACCAGTGATCACACTAGTAAATAATAACTTCTCTGAGTCCCAGGAGTGGCAATGAGACAGAGTTGGAAAACAGAGCCTCAGAGAGCTACAAATCCCTGAGGAGTGGCCACAGGAAACATCCTGCCATGGGGACCCAGAAAAGGGATGGAGAAGCAAAGTCCCCAGAGGGCAGGGATGGAGACTGGAGGCTGACAAAGAGGTCAGAGAAAAAGTCAGGTGGAAATCGGGCAAAAAAGAAGAAATTTAGGGAATGGATCAAAGAGAGCACGATAGTGACAGAGAAAGCAGGAAGGGAGGGACAAGATGAGAGAGGGGGCTGTACAGAGGCAGCAGGACACCTCAGACGGGTGTTTCATCTCAGACATGGAGGCCAGATCTGTGCCCCATCCAGTGGCAACGCTTCTGAAACTTCGAAAAGCAGACTGACTTGCCTCTCTGACTCTCTGTGTGACCTTGGACATCTGCACTTGGACATCACAGGACAGACAACATCGGGTAGATGAGCCCACCCCCCTCACAGCACCCCCCCAAGCCCCAATCTGTTCTGACATACTCCAGCAAAGAAGCAGGGACAGAGGCAGGCAGTGGAGGCATCCCAGGCTCTGACTGCCCACATCCAGCCCCAGCTGAGTCCTCCCGGTCCATCCACCCCCTCCCAAGCTCTGAGCGACAGCAGTTGCTGGTTCGTTTTGCCTATCCCTCTTCTGCCTTCTGGTGGTGGAGATGTGTCATAGCAATGTAGTTCTCCGCTCTTCCCCCACCAGGTCCACCAGCTAGCTGTTCCCAAGCCTCAACATGATTCACCAAGGAGGAGGCAGCGGTGATTCATCTCCAAGGAGCCTTCCCACGCCCACACCTGCTTCGCATAGAAGGGGTTTCCTGGACAGTCCCTGCTGAAAAGCCTAGGTGGACTGAACTGGAAACCTGATATCAGGAACCCGTTTCTATGCCTGGGGTAGGATTAGGGGCAGCAGGAGGTGTCAGAAATGGGAGCCTGGACACTGCCCAAGTTGGCTCACTCACCCCTTGGGGAGCAGTTCAATGAAAAGAGAAATGGCCTCACTAGCAGCGCCCCAGGTGTAAGTCTGGGTGCTGTCCCTGGCTCACCCTGCAATGTTGGGTAAGTGGTACCACACCTCAGAGCCTAAGCCTTTTCGCCACGAGGATCACTTTTAATATCCCATGCACCCCAAAATAAGCTTTGAAGTTCTTTTTCTTATCAAATTGCATTAATTCATTCATGATCCGCTCTATAAATCATACCCATGAGTCTCCCCTTGTAGCATGGTCGTTACATTCTTGTAAGAACCCATGCCTTACATTCTTGATTGCTGCTCCTAAGGGTGTGTGCATTCCTGTGGCTTCGGAGTACCTACTATGTGTCAAGGGCTTCCATAGATGGCCCCACATAGTTCATGAGGCAGTCCCAGGAAGGTGGACAATCTCACCCTTCTTGACAGAAATGAAAATTGGGGCTCCAGGACATGTTCCCACCCAACCAATAAGGGAGGAGAAAAAATTTAAAGACAGGTGACTTAGCAGTGTTAAACATCTGCATGCTCCAGCCACCAGTGATGCCAGAAGGCCTTAAGGATAGTTGCTGCTCAGACCAACCTCCATCTGTCCAGCAAAGTAGTCTCAAGTGTCGGCCACACTGGGGTCCAGGAGCCTGTCTTCTCGGCACCTCCACTCCTGGCACCTTTTCCTGTTGACTTCAAATGTACCATAGCCTGGATTTGAAATATACTAAACAGAAAGCTTTGTCAGCTCCCCATCTCCCAGTAAAGACTGGATCTCATTCATTTCTGCACAAGCACCAGATCTCGCCCACATCAGACGCCTACCATTGTCTATAGCTGCTGAATGACAATGGGAGGGGGGTAGGAGCCAGAGGGTCAGGGAGCACTCCCTTTTTTTCCTTGCCTGAAAGCACACCAGTGATTACACTAGCAAATAATAACTTCTCCTCTGAGTCCCAGGAGTGGCAATGAGACAGAGTTGGAAAACAGAACCTAGGAGAGCTACTAATCCCCAAGGAACGACCACAGGAAACATCCTGCCATGGGGACCAAGAAAAGGAGCTGAGCAAAGTCTCCAGAGAGCAAGGATGGAGTCAGGAGGCAGACAGATGGAAGAACCAGGCTTCCCCTGTGCCACAAAGAACATTGCCATCTACCCGTGACCCAAACCAGACGCTTGGCTTCCTCCCAGCCTCCTGCTTCCCCTGGCTGCTAACCAGATGTCTGGTCAGCCTGCTTGTTTCTAAGCATGACTGGTCTCTGTCCACACTGCTTTAGGCCTCTTTCAAATCATCTGTCCCAGCTGCATTCTCCTCCAGCCCTGCTCCTGGGCCTCACACTAACCCCTCCTCAGCTCTAAAAGTTCAAATTTCTTCAGATTACAGCATTCAGTGAATTCTCCTAACTTTTAGGAGACCCAGGCATGGCATCCCATTCTTGACACACTAACTTTGCTGTGGTATAGGTCATACTTTTTCCTGACCCTGAACTTCTGCCCATGCCATGTACTCTCATGGAAAGCCTTCCTCAGTGGAGCCACCCATCAGCCTCTTTGATTTCCTTTCTTTCTTTTTTTTTTTTTGAAGATTTTATTTATTATTTTATGTTATATGCATGAGTGTTTATCTGAATGTATGCATGTCTGTGTGCCACATTCATACAGTGCCCAAGGAAACCAGAAAATGGTGTCAGACCCCAGGGACTGGGTTATAGACTGTTGTGAGTCTTCGAACCTGGGTCCTCTGGAAAAGTAGCCAGGTGCTCTTAACCCCTAGGCCATCTCTCCAGCTCCAGCACAAGCTCCTTAATCACCCTTCCAGCTCACCTCAAAGGTCATTTCCTCTGGGTTCAGCCCCAAATCCATTTCCCAGGTCCCCTGCATGCTTGAGCAGGCCCATGCTCACACTTAGGCGCTCCCCAGCCAGTCCCTCAGCCTGTTGCTCATGGCTCTATAGCATCATTTTTATTAATTCTGACTTTAAATATCTCTCCCACTAGAAATAAATGCTAAGCTTCATGAAACCCTCCATTCCCTAGTGCCTAGCACAAAATAAGTGTCTGCTAGATGGTGGCTGTAGGCTCAAGTGCTGTCCCTCACAGCCAAATCCTTCTCTCCTCCCTGGACTATCCTACCTCCAGATACACCCAGTCCTCTACCCAACCCCTGAACCTTCTGAAAACTGACTTGTTACCATTCCATGGGATCAGCTCTCTCCAGTGCCACCAGAGACTCCCTTCTTTTGATGGAAAGGGAGCAGCTTGATGACCCCTTCCTCAGAAGAGTTCTTCTGAGGGAACAATTCATTCCACGTGTGCCCTCTCCACCTCCATGAGAAAACTCTGTTCTCCCCTCCCACAGATGCTGCTCCTTCTCATCCAACATAGCCTCACGAGAAGGGCACCCTTCTCTGTTCCCTTCCTCTACCAACCCCCTGGAGCCTGTGGTTGGGCAGCTTCTGTCTGTGGGGAGGTGTGACTTTTCCTGGGGCAAGGTGAGCAAATGTCTGTATTGAACTCACTCACAGGAGCATGGATGGCTCAGACAAAGCTGCACTATGGAAAAGCCCACCCTAGCATGCTTAACAACTGGTGGAACAGCACCATTGGACACCCTGCACTGCTTGCAGGCAGCTCAGCAAATCAACAAGTCTCCTCTCCACAGAAGTCCTTGCTGCTTCTTTACCTGCAGGGAGACACCACTGCGAATCTTGTTTTAGGAGCTTCCTGAGATATGTAACTTTTTGTTTACTGCCTGGGCTTTAGAGGGATGTTTAAATTCTGAGGAAATGGCTACACAACTGTCCATGATTTAGACAGACAGACAGACACTCAGACAGACAGACAGACAGACAGACTGACTGACTGACTGATAGCTCTTGGAGCTTGAAACATGGTAGGTGGTTCTGCAGTTGACAGCACTAGCTGTTGTTCCAGAGGACCCAAGTTTCCAGAACCTGTAATTCCACTTCCAGGAGATCCAGTGCCCTCTTCTGGCCTCCTTGAGCACTGCATACACACAGAGCAGAGACAAACATACAGGTGAAACATGCGTACCCATAAAGCACTGCAAAGATCTTATTGACCTTCACAAGTTACTTTCCCCATGACTGTGATAAAAATACCTAAAAGAAGAAAATTAAGAGAGAAGAATTTGTTTTGACTCATTATTCAAGATAGTACAGTTCATGGTGATGAGGAAAGCCTGAAAACAGGAGCAACTCCATGTTGGGATAGAAGGACTCTTGGGCACTGATTACATCATGTCATCAGCCAGAAAGCAAAGAAGTCAACCAGAAGCGGGGCAATGCTGTAACTCCTCCCAGTGACCCACTTCCTTTAGCTAGGTCCCATCTTCTAAAGATTTCTTAGTTTTCTGAAATAGCACTACCTTCTGTGGACCAAGTTTGTAAACACATGAGCTTGTGGAAGACAGTTCCCACCCAAACCATAACCATAACCTAGCTGGACGGTCTCATAGCCATCCCTAAATGCAGGATCCGTTCACTATTCAGAACAATTTTAAAAGTCACTGGAGTTTCTGGGGGGATGACTCAGTTCATAAAGTGATTGCTGCTCAAACCTGAGAACCTGAGTCTGAATTGTCAGAACTCATACAAATAGTTGGGTATGGCAACACATGCATGTAAGCCTAGTGCTGGGGGGCAGGGGACAGGAGGATTGTTAGGGATTGCCAGTTAGTCTAGTCAATGGATGAGCTCTAGGTTCAGTGAGAGACTCTGCCTCAGATAATAAGTTAGACAGTGATTCAGGAAAACATTGCAACCTTGCCTCTGGTTTCCACGTGTATTCATACAAATATGTGTGTGTGTGTGTATTATTATATAAATTTATATAATACACACACACACACACATATATATATATATATCACAAAAAAGTGAAAAGTAAATAAAGACCAAAAAATTCCTGTACTCTTAAAATTCTAACATAGTTCAGAAGTCCAAAGTCTCTTCTGAGACTCAAAATAAATCCTTAGCTAAGAGCCCCTGGAAAACCAAAAACCAAGTAACATACTTTCAATGTACAATGATACAAACATACCCACTCTAAAATGAAGGAATGGGAAAATATCAAAAGAATACCACACTAAAGAAAGACTAAATTCAAACAGATAGACACCAAACTCTGCAACACGCCATGACCAGCATCTGGAGATCATGACAGCATCTTCTGGGCTCCAACAGGTTTATACACTCCCATCCCTCCAGCCCTGCAATCTGTAGCATGTGTGCTCTTTCATGGCCTGGGTCTTTTCAGTCCCTGCAAAAGTCCAAATTTCTGGCATCTCATAACCCCTGGGATGGCCACTGAAACTGGGCTCAACTTCATTCAGTCGGCTCAAACTCCAGGACTCCATGCGGAGAGTGTAACATTGTTACATATTGCCTGACCTCAGCAGCTTTGTATAACCTTGGTGCAAACTTCCATCGGCCTCTGCATGAATGGAGTTTTGTTTGACTGCCAAACCAGTACCACACGGAAAATAACACCAAGTTTTTACTGCCAACTTGAAATGTAGCCTGACCCACTTGGACTAAGGCTGTGGTATCCAAGTGCCTGTGTGACTTAATCAGGGACAGCCATTTTCAAGCAAGAAACCCCCAAGTGGAGGCACTCTCCTTTGCAAACCCTCTCCTTTCAAATGAATGCTCCCAGACAGGTATACAGCTTTATTCCCTGAAGCCTTCAGGGAGTAGATCTTGCCTTTAATGTGCCATTCCTACTGCCCCAAAGCAAGCTGCATACATAGTTAATCCTTAATTGTGTTCCTGTCTTTGTAATTGTAGCTACTTTGTCGGCAAAAAAACCTTATCGGCTCTTTCTGCAACTTTACCTTGACTCATGGTCCTGTGCACATTAAACTGTGCATTTTCCACTTTTTTTTTTCTTTTTTGGTTTTTCGAGACAGGGTTTCTCTGTGTGCCTCCCGAGTGCTGGGATTAAAGGTGTGCGCCACCAACACCCGGCCTCATCTTCCACATTTTTTCAAGCCACTATCTGATCAGAATTTTCACTGTAAACATAGCTAACGGTTGTCACATGTCAACAGTCATGTGACAACCTGAATGCTGTGCCATCTGGCAATGTTCTCTACAGAACAAATTACTCTATTGCTTCTGAATTCAACTTCACTCAAAGTTTTAGGAAATAACACATAACCAATTTCTTTATCTGAACGTAACATAAATGGTGTCTAACCCAGTGTCTGCTACAGTTCCTGTTTTGTTTTTAGGTGTATTTGGTTTTGTTTGTTTTTCCTTGATTTTCATTGTTCTTTTTTGAGACACTTCATTGTGTAGTTCAAGCTGGCCTCAAACTTGCTGTGTAGCCAAGGATGACCTTGAACTCCCAATCCTGGTGCCTCCACTTTCCAAGAATTTGGATCATAGGCATGCACTGCCACTCTAAATCCTCATGAATCTGAACAGTGTCCATTTTTCTATCAATAGTATGGTCTCCTGAACACTCATCAGAATGGCCCAGTAAGCTCTGACTACAGAATGTTAGGGCCTTTCTAGCCCACATTTTTTTTTTTTTTTTTTTTTTTTTTTTTGGTTTTTCGAGACAGGGTTTCTCTGTGACTTTGGAGGCTGTCCTGGAACTAGCTCTTGTAGACCAGGCTGGTCTCGAACTCACAGAGATGCAACTGCCTCTGCCTCCCGAGTGCTGGGATTAAAGGCATGCACCACCAACGCCCAGCTTCTAGCCCACAATTCTAAATTTCTCCACATTCCTCCCAAAAACCACCTCCAAAGACCGAAAAACAATATGGTCAGTTTGTTTTTGTTGTGGTTTGGTTTGGTTTTGGTTTTGGTTTCCTTTTGTTTTGCTTTTGTTTGTTGAGACAGGGTTTCTCTGTGTAACTGCCCTGGCTATCCTGGAACTGGCTCTGTAGACCAAGCTGTCTCTGCCTCCTGAGTGCTGTGGTCAGTTCTATAACAGAAACAGATTACTCTATTCTTTATGTCCTCATCACTCTAACCAACCCTTGACAACTTCAAGGAGGAAGGATCTATTTGGTTTCACGATTGGGGTGGATTTAATCCATCATAGAGGAAGGTGTGACTGTGGGTGGTTTCCTGGCAGTGGGAGCATGAGGTATAGGGTACCATCCAGGAAGCAGAGAGTTCATGATGTACCTGAGGATGGGCTATGAGGCCAACTTCTGTATCCTCAAGTCTGTAAATAGGCCCCAAGTCCAAAAGGTCTCTCAGTCTCCCAAGATAGTGCCACCATCTGGGAACCAACTCTTCAAACAAATGAGCCTGTAGGAGAGAATTAACATTCAAACCACAACATAGCCTCAGCTCCAAATTACATCATCTAGTCCATGGCTGTGATTGGGAGTCCTGCTTGAGTTCTTCTCAGAACTTCAAAGGGAAGAAGGTGAGAATAATTAGCACCCTCCAAACCCCAAAACTCAGATCTTTGCCTTCTCTGTCTCTCTGTTGCCATTTATAACCATTCACTTGAGTCATTCTTCAGGGGGATGAGGTAAGGAAAAGAAAAACACTCCTTGTTTCCCCAACCTCTAACCACCAAAACCACCATTGCATCCTAGTGAAAACTGATTAGAAAGAACACAATGAAATGACCACGTGGAAGTCCCTAGAGTATGGGACTCTGACCCCCTTTCCCTGCATTTAACCCTATGCATCTCTTCCTCAGCAACCTTTGCAACAAACTAAGACAAAGATAACTAAAGACGCAAATAGCCTTGAAAATATAAAAGAATAAGGTAGCTGTAGTTGAGTGGTAGAGCATTTTCCTGGAGAGAAAAAGACCTAGGTTCCATTCCCAAAAGGAGAGAAAGGCATTGTGAAATGGGCTCCCATAACCAACACCCTCTTGGTAATCAGTAAACAAATTCTGAATACTTAATGAACAAACACTTTTTTGAAGAAGCTCAGAAGGCTGGTGTCAAATGCTTGCCTTTCACTGTACAGCAGAATCAGGCAGATTAAAGACATAAAATGATGGGAAAGTGGGGCTAGTGAGAAGGCTCAGCAGGTCAAAGAGCTTGCTGCCAACCTGAGGGCCCCACGTGGGGGAGGAGAGAAGCGATTCCCACAATTGTCCTCTGACACCCAACTTTGTGTGTGTGTGTGTGTGTGTGTGTGTGTGTGTGTGTGTGTACATATTGATAGGTAAGTGTGAACAAATAAAATGAAGAAAGACTGCCTTAGCCACGAGGTTACAGAGTAACAGTAAGGGGAGAAGGAAGCTCCAGGGATGCAGCCTTTCCTAGTCAGGGTCACAATGCCACTCAGAAAACTGTTTCTGAAGTTGAGAAATGTTGCTGTCTTACTATACAATTTGGTTGATTGTTTTGTTCTGTTCTGGATTTTTGTTCCCGCCCCCTCCCTTGTGAACAGGACCTCACCATGCAACCTAAAGCAGCTTCCAACACAAGATCCTTCTGCCTCAGACTCCCAAGTGACAGGATTGCCGGCTGTGTCACCACATGCAGCTGTCACTAAACAGCTTAGAAACCATC